GCAGGCAGAATGCTATACACATAATAAGTAAATCTTTTTTTAAAATGTGGATTTTAAAACAAAGCAAAAAATTTACTAACACAGGAAGCTCCCAGATGGTTATTCTGGGCAGACAACTGCCTGTAGGAATGTTGGAGAAAGTTAGGAAAGAGGGGGCCTGTGAGACAGTTCACTTCTGTAAAAGTACCTGTCACCAAGCCTGACGAGTCCAATTCCTGGCACCTACGTGGTGGAAGGAAAGAAAATGGCTTCCCCATGTTATACTTTGATCTCCACACACATGTGCACTTACACACACACACACACACACACACACACACACACACACACACACACACGGCTAGAGAGATGGCTCAGTGGTTAAGAGCACCGGCTGCTCTTCCAAAGGACCCGAGTTCAATCCCCAGCACCCACATGGCAGCTCACAACTGTCTGTGACACATACATGTAGGCAAAACACCAATGCACATAAAATGAAAATAGATTAAAAAAAATTAAAAGATGGCTAAAAGGTTTCACCTTTAAAAGGAAGTAATAGGTCCTTAATTTTTGCCATTGACAGGAAAATACGTTTTAAGAACCGAATGGTGAGGACTGGAGAGATGGCTCAATCGTTAGGAGGGCTGTGTTAATTTATTTATGTATTTATTTATTTATGTATATATGTGCATTGGTGTGAGGGCATCGGATCCCTTGCAACTGAAGTTACAGACAGTTGTGAGCTGCCTTGTGGGTGCTGGGAATCGAACTCAGGTCCTTTAGGAAGGGCATCTCTCCAGCCCGAGTGCTGTGTTTTTTCAGAAGACACAGGTGTAAGTCCCAGCACCCACATGGTGGCTCAGTTTGAGGGGATCCTCCTCTGACCTCTATGAGGCTCCTGCCTGCATGTGATATATATATACACCCAGGCACACATACATGACCACTAGAAACGAAATATATATATTTAAAAGAACTGAATGACGGCCCTTGTAAAACGTGGAACTTTCCAATTTCTGGTCAGGAAAGCCAGGCAAGGTGGAACAGGCCTGTTGTCCTAGCTACTGGAGACCACGGGCTAAGGCAGAAGGGATGAGAGGACAGGCTGAGTAAGGCCCTATTTCTTTAAAGAAAAACAAAACCATGAGGGGCTGGAGAGAAGCCTCAGCCTAAGGTCACTTGTTACTCTCAAAGATGACAAAAGTTCTGTTCCCAGCACCCACATAAGCTGGCTCACAACCACCTGTAATTCTAGCAATCTGGCCTCCAAAGGCACTCATGGGCCCTTGAGCATACACAGAGCTACAAATACATACATCAGTAAAAAATAAATCGTTTTGTAAAAGAAAAACAAAACAAACAAACAACAGGATGAAGGCAGATATATGCCTGAATCCTAGCTCTTAAGAGGCAGAGGATCTTGAATTCAAGTGCATCCTTGGCTATACAGACAGTTTGAGGCCAGGCTACATGAGACCTAGTCTCAAAAACAAAACTGGGGGCTAGAGAGATGGCTCAGTGGTTGAGGGCACTGTCTACTCGTCCAGAGGTCCTAAGTTCAATTCCCAGCAACCACACGGTGGTTCACAATCATCAATGTGATCTGACGACCTCTTCTGGCATGCAGGTGTACATGCAGATAGAGCACTCACATATATAAAAATAAGTAAATAAACCTTAAAAGATTGAAAAAAAATAAACAAAACTGGGGATGGGAGGGAAATAACTCACGATAAATTTATGGCCAACAAAAAAGCACTAAGACCATGTCTACACTGAACAAAATAAATAGACGAATTAGGTCCCACTACTCAAAGACCAAGGTGCTTTCTGCGTAATTATCACGGTTAGAAACTGGATAAATTGGGGCATTCCATTTAAACAGAGATGTGTACATGTGTGTGCAATACAGAGGCCCAAAACTTACATAACTTGGAAGGCTGGAAAGTTGTAGAAATGTGTTTGTGAGACAGGAAAGTTCATGCCTGCCGCCTGTGAACCACTCTCTGTAGGCAAACAAGACTATAGTGTTGGCTCATTTTTAGGGACCCTTTCCTATCTCTTACAAACACGTATACTGTTTAAATCTATTACAAAATACATGTGACCAACAAAATACAGAGAAATGAATATTGAGTATAAAAGCTGAATCAGTCTATGGAGGACAAAGTTTTAGGAAGACTGACGAAGAGTAACCAAGAGAAAATTTGTTTTCAAAGAGACTTACGGGCCAGGTGCTGTGTGCACAATCTTTAATCCCAGCACGTGGGAGGCAGAGGCAGGCAGATCTCTGTGAATTTTGAGGCCAGCCTGGTCTACAGAGGGAGTTCTAGAGTAGCCAGAGCTTCATAGTGAGACCCTGTTTCAGGAAATTAAAACAAAACAAAACAAAACAATAAAACCCAGTAAATATATAAAAGAGGTTTAGCAGAGCAGAGAGAAGGTTCATCAGGCGAGGCACCTGACGTCAGGTGGATGACATGAGTTCAACCCCAAGGACCCGCATAACAGCAAGAGAGAATCAACTGTTGAACAACTTAATATATGTGTGCCAAGTCTGTGCACATGCAACCCCCCCATACACAAACAAAATCAACTTAAAAATAAATCAAAGGGCCTAAACAGAGAAGAAAGACATGAAAACTACAACAGACACTTTCAAACTTATAAGATTGTCACGTATATGATCCATGGCTCATCAAGTAAAAGCACACTGCTCCAGCCAATCCTGGTTGTTAACTTGACTATGCCTGGGATCAACTAAACCCCAAGCAGCTGGATGTACCTGTAAGGATTTTCTTGATTGTGTTCCTTGAAGGGGGAAGACCCACCCTAAGTCTGGGCCACATCTTCTGATGGAAGCCCATACAAAAGAGCACAGAAAAGGAAGCCTTTTTTTTTTTTTTTTTTTTTTTTGCCTGCTTTCCCTCACTCTCCCTGGACAGTTGGACAGTTCTGGAGCATTCCTTCGCTGGCGTTGGAAGCCACCCCCTCGGCACTCTCACACAGACTGAAGACTGGCCGCCCTCTAGGAATCCTGTGGGATTTCAGAACTAGATTGGGGCAGCGGAGACATCAGTCTTTCGGATGGAACAGCTACTGGATTCTTGGCCTTCCGTTCAGGAGACAGCCGTTGTTGGGAGTACCTGGGTCACAAGCGGTGAGCCATGCCAATAAATCCCCTTTGGACACAGACATTGACTTATATGAGTTCAAAACCTCCTTCCCCTATTTTGGGGCCCAGAAGGTTTTTACAAGAGCGGTCCAGTAACTTCCAAGGAGCAGATCTCTACCCTAAATGAGCCGTGTCTGAACACTCAGAAAACAGGAACCGCTGCCCGATCTACTGTTATTATAGGTTGGCAGGAAGAGGTGATCACATGATCACCTTGGCAAATATAGAATGAGCATTTGACAAAGTTCTAGCCAGAATCAAAAGCAAAACCAAAAGCGTCTAAAGGACAAGCCTCTTTGCCTTCCAGCCGCCCAAATCCAGACGCTGCAGCCACTGTGTTTGATATACTCTGTTGATTTTTATTAGAAAGCAATATTGGGAATTTTATTTATTTTCCATGGTTGCTGCTACAGTTTGGCTCAGAGGGAAAGGAGTGTGGAGAAAAAGGAATAGCTTGTGAAAGCAAGCCACAAAACAAGAGACAAAAACCTAATTTTTCTGGCTTATTAAACAGAACGTCCTAAAAGCAACAGCCACCCTCACCATCCTAGAATGCAGCACAGGGAAGGTCCAGAGTTTTTTAAAGCTAGGACATCTGGTCATCTTTCTCAAATTCAGACACCCCACTTTTTAAAGCTCAGATCAAGTTTTGGTTCAGCTGTGGACATAGCATCAGATCTCTGAGATGAGCCGGAGTTAACTTCTGTGGAGACAAAAGCTGAGTACAAGGGGTTTCTTGCTAAGCGCACACAGGCCAGGCAAAAAGCTGTCACTCAAATGCAAGCAAGTATCTGAAGACTTGGTCACTTCAGCTCTTGGCACTTGTGCCATCTGTTTCACCTCTATTGTACAAGAGTCTCACGATGTAGCTCTGGCTGAGACCTGGAACTTGCTATGTAGACCAGGCTGGCCTGGAACTCAGATCCTTCTGCCTCGGCCTAGAGTGCTTGAGGCATTCTCTATTGAAGCAGATCTGTATAGATTTTCTTGTGGGAGACGGTGGATGGCCCTGAGGGCAGGGGCTGTCTCCAGAGCTTGGGATGGAGTCCAGTTTTCACACCTAAGTGTGTATACCTCACCTAAAGGCAAGACAAGGCAGCCCCATTTGTGGTCTGGGGAGGGCTCTCTTCCATCTCTGAGTGCACCCGTCCCTGGCCATCTTTGCTGGCATGGGGGCTTGTGGCCCCTTCAGACTACATAGGTGTGTCACTGGAAGGACACTGGAAGAGGGCTTGGTTCTGGCCTCCTTTTAACGCCTGTGATCACGAAAGGTGAGCTGAGTTTGCCGGTCTAGTAAAGCTCAGAAGGCAGGACAGGTGGACACATTTTGGCAACTAAGTGGCTGAGGCTAACAGGTAAGGGCAGAGGTTATGAGCCCCTGTGAGCGCCAAGTGGAACTATGGGTTCTGTATTCAGATGCATCCTCCCACATGGGATTTTACAGGAATGGGGTGTGTGTGTGTGTGTGTGTGTGTGTGTGTGTGTGTGTTTTAGCTTAGATAGCCAAACACCACAGGGTTTTTTACAGAAACAGAGAGAAGGGAAGAAGAGAAGAAGAGAAAGAAGAGGGAGGGAGAGGATGTGTATGAAAGAGAGAGAGAGTGTGGATGAGTGTGAGTATTGCAAATAGAAAACGTAGGTACAGGTGGCCAAATCACCCGGGACCCCTGAGCTGCTATATCCCCGGCACACTGGCCGGAAGCTTCCCATATCCTCCAGCCTGGCCTGGTGGTTCTGAGCCTCGCTAAGGGTCCTCGCCGCCCCGCGTCCCTGTGACCCGCGTGGACGCGGAGCTTGGTGCCCGCTCCGCAAGGAGGAGCCCGCGAGCGGCCGGGGCTGCGCTTACCTCGCCTGGGGTCCGGGGGTCCGGGCCGCCGAGCTCCGCTCCCCTCCCTTCGGACGCATCTGCCGCCGCCGCTTTGTTTCTTTTCAGAGGGAAAGCTGCAAAGCGAAAGCGAAAATAAGAGAGGCGGGCCTGGCCCGAGCGCGTCCCCGAGCCAACGCGGCGGCCCACGGGCGGGCGCCGTGGACTGGCGGGGCCGTGCGCGCGCCCGAGCCCGCTCAGCGGTGCAGCCGCGACCTCCCGGGCACGCTGCCGCCAAACGCCGGGGACTCCGGCCTCAGTGGGAGCCTGGGTGACGGGCACTCCCCTTCCTCGGGGAGACCTAACCTTGAGGTTCCAGGGGTTCTCAACCTTCCTAGTGCTGCTACCCTTTAAGGCAGTTCATGTTGTGGTGATTTCCCCAACCGTAAGATTATTTCCGTTGCTATGTCATAACTAATTTTGTTATGAATCATAATGTAAATATTTGTGGAGAGAGAGAGGGTTGCCATAGGGGTCGTGACCCACAAGTAGAGAACCACTAAGAGTTACCTATGCAACAGTTCTAAGTGTTTTAGAGGGAGAGTTTCTTGTGGCCCTAGATAAGGCTAGTAACTAGACTAGACATGTAACAGGTCGCTGAGGGGATGGGAAAACGATTGAGTCGGTAAAATGGTTTCTTGCGCTGCAAACATGAGAACCAGAGCTCAGTCTGCAAAGCTTCACGAAAAGCTAGACAAGCAATGTGCCTGTATGCCCAGCGTCAGAGAGGCGGAGACAGGAGGATTTCTGGGGCGTGCTGGCCAGCCAACCTACCTGAATCTGTATAGTCCAGGTTCGGTCAGGGACCCTGTCTCTAAAAATAGTGGGGCTGGCAAGAAAATTCAGGAGGTTAAGGCCCCTGCCACCAAGCCTTGGGACCTGAGCTTAATCGCTAGGCCCCACATGGTAGAAGAGAACCAGCTGCCACAAGTTGACATCTGACCATATGGCACAAGCTTGCTTGCTCCAACACACTAAATAAAAATGTTGAAAAATTACAAAGAAAAAGGAATTGACCCTCAACTTTAGCTTCTGGCCTAGTGTGTGTGTGTGTGTGTGTGTGTGTGTGTGTGCACGTGAGCGTGTGTATGCACCCATATATACGAATAACAGAGCTGTACACGTGTACACCACACATACATAAAATAAGTCAATGAATTGAGAAAGATACTGACATTGGCCATCAAGTTCCGATTGCATACACACATATAAAAGCACTTGGGTGAAAAGAGTGCTCCTTGGAAAATGCCAAGTGTAAGGTTTGGATTTTCTGGTCTGAGTGGTGCCCACCTCGCTGCCTGGGGTTAGGCTCTGGTCTTATCAATAACAAAGGGGAAATGGGGCCCTTTCATGTAATTAAAAATCTAGAAATGTAGGTTGAAGGTTTAGACTCCTTGGTCCAAGTGCTATTCATCTCATCAACGGCCAGTGGCCAGGCTCTAATCTGGTCTTTGTCTGACTGTGATTTGGGGCACAGTGTTTAACTACCCTTGGAGTCTTCCCCAAGAATGAGGATAACAGTCATACCTACTTCTAGGTTTTTGGCAGGAAATGCAACCATCCATGAAGAAAATACTTGGAGAACTATTCTCTGTGAGCCTCTAGGTGGGCACCTTAAGAGCAATGACTAAGAACTTGTGGACAGGCAATAGCTGGAAAGATTAGAGGCATCTCCATGATGACAAGATGGTTTTAAGAGTTTGGACTGCACACAGAGCGCTGAGGAGGAACTTCGGTCTTTGAGGAAGACTTCTAACACCAAACCCCACAATTAGCTGCTGTAGTTAGCTTACTGGAATACATTTTTGCTGAGGCAGAACTGCCACAAAGTTTGCCCAAATGCTTTAAGCTCTGTCTAGCACTGGCCCGGCACACCTGCAGCAGTTTCTAACACTTGCTGTTGGGAACTGTTGTCATGACAAACACAGTTAGCTGGCTCTCTCTCTGTCTTTCTCATATGAGAGAGTGTGAGCAAGTGACAGAGAATATGACAGAGCAAACATAAAACAATTTTTGTTACAGAGCCCAGACAGAACTGTCTAAAAACTGGAGTGAAACCCAAATGAACCACATAATCCCTCTGAGTCGCATCCTTTCTGTACCAATGACGGAGGCCTAGGGCTATACCATATACGAGAGATTTCAGTGTCTGACGGAGAAGGGAAATTGAGACAACTCATATGATGGCATTATGAAAACTGAAGCTCACATCTCTCCAGAAGGCGTTTTCTGTCTGCAGCATGAAGAAAATGGCAAACATTAGAAACCCAAGGCAAGCCTTGCGTAGGCCTCTTCCTCATGTTGGGCAGTTTTGACTCATGGGAGCAGAGTGGAACGCTTGGCTGCTTCTGCGTAAACAAAGTCTGGAAAGGTTTAGTCAGGGTACTGCTAAGTCTTTCGCAACTCAATAGACACTAGAGTCACCTGGGAAGAAGACCCTCATCCGAAGAATTGCCTCCATTAGTCTAGCCTGGAGAGATGTTGAGGGGGTATTTTCTTGATTGATGACTGACGTGGGAGGTAACAGCCCTGGTCAGGTAGTCCTGGGTTTTATTAAAAAGTAAGCTGAGCAAGCCATGAGGTAGCAAGCCAATAAGCAGTAATTCCTCCACGGCCTGTGAATAAGTTTGTGACTCCAGTTTCCTCCTCAACAGCCCCCAGTGATGGGCTGTGAGCTGTAAAACTCTCTCTTCCTAGTTGATTTTGGTCAGGTCAGTGTTTCATTACAACAACTGAAACTAGACAAGACCAGTCATGAAGGGAGAGGAAGGGATTCCCAAAGGTGAACCAAATCTTGTTTTCATGCATGTGAGAGCATTTGAATGTGGAGGTCAGACATCATCATCAGATGTCTTCCTCATTTACCCTGTACCTTATTTTTTTGAGACAAGGTATTGGGGGCTGGTCTGGTGTTGTGTATTCTAATGCTTATTACTGGCCCCCAAGCTCTGGTTGGCACACAGAGAAGTGCATTCTCATGTGATGTTTGTAAACTTTGCTCCCTTGTCAGTATTCTTTGACTAGTTAAATAAAGTTGCTGACAGCCTGTAACTGGACAGAAGAGAAATAGGAGAGCTTAGGTTCTCCAGCTCATGGTCTCTCAGATGGGGACCTTGAGGTAAGAGGCAAAGGCAGGAGAGGAAGCTGGCAAGAAGGAAGTTTCCACGGAGAAGTATGGACCATGAGCATGTGGCAATGAGGACTGGCCTGATGGAGCAGAAGTGGCCCAGGCAGGAACATTTATGGCAAGTAACTTTGGGTGTGTAGCTGGGAAATAGCAAAATAGCTTAGGGGGTTGCTCTCTGATCATTTACTGTGCTTTAAAGCTTTTATAAATCCGAAATCATCCTGTCTCTGGGTATGGCTGCTGGGGATGGAAGCCAGGTCCTCAGGCTTGCATAGTAAACACTTAACTTGAGGTCATCTACCGAGACCCCCAGTGTCTGTAGATGTAGAGCACACCTGACTAAGATGCAAAGTCTGCCGGAGTCTCAGTGATCTCTCCAAGTCTATATTTGGTTCTTGGCTTGTGGGAACAGAAATTTTCACCAGATATTCAGTGTTTTAGCATTGATTAGCACTGTTATACTACTCCATGGAGAACGCCATTCAGTAAGTAGTAGGTAGCAGGCTAGTAGGCTGGTACGGCAGCTCAGTCTCTGCAACTCATCTGTTAGAAGGCAAAGATGACATGACTCCAGAAAGTCATCCTCAGACCTCCACACGTGTTTTGGTGTTCCTCTGAATAAATACGTATAATAATTAAAACAAAATAAAACTAAAAACCTCTAAACATAGGTTAGCAACCACACACACACACACACACACACACACACACACACACACACACACAAAGCAGCCATTTTGCTAATGCTGGAACAACAAACAAACAAACAGGAATAAAAGTGATCTTTGTCTTCAGGAAACATACTTTAATGAGGAAATAGGTCTGATCAGTCAAATCTAGAAGAACCATCCTAAATGCTGTACCAGGGCCAGTGAGATGGCTCAGCAGGTAAGTGCCCTTGCTGCCAAGCCTGATGACATTAGTTTGATCGCCAGGACCCAAATAATGGAAAAAAACTGACTCTTCTAGTTTGCACATACAGACCCTGGCACAACACACACACACACACACACACACACACACACACTGAAAATATCTAAATACTGTAGGAACAACTAGCAGGTGTTAGTTAGATGAGCAAGTCTGACTTCTCGGCTTCCCGTTAAGCTAGCCCGTGGTTCTGCCCTGCTCCTGTGGCTCTTCCTACTTGAGCTTCCTTCCTTCCCACTCTCCTTTCTCAGCATCAGACCTGCACCCAGACCGCAGTCTCCCCTGCTTAGGGTTCTCTTTGTTCTTTATGCTTTCCACTCTCCCCAGTACACACCTGCACACTTCCTCCTGTCTTCTTGCTGGTTGAGGGAGGGCCCACACAGACACGATGAAGGGCACTGAACTGGCACTTTGAAGGATTTTGGAGACCCTCAGTTCTGCACAATGTGTGTGGAGGTACCAGATGGGCAAAGAGCCACCCTGTCTCGACTTCCCTACTTTTATGATGCAGCTGAACTCAATACCAAGTTATCAGCCATGTCTTCCTCATGAGTGTTTAGTCCATAAAAGCCTTGCTCCACAGATTTACCTGCCCTCTAAATCCTCTGAGTAAAGTTTGGTGCTGGAACACTATTACCCTAGAGAAAAAGCAACCAGCCCTTAAACGATGCCAAGAAGCCGAAAGAATCATTATAAAGCTGTGATTGTAATTTGCACCTGAACCATCAAGGATGAATGAAATAATGTCCCTCTTAAAGTGTTCCCTGGTGAAAGGTTTTACCTGTGCTTCGGGTTCCGACGGTAAGAAGCAGTGCCTGTGCCTTCAGTAAGAAGAACGCCTGTGCTATCCTTGGCGAAAAGCACAGGCATTCTCACTACAAGCTTAGCCTTCTGAGCAAGGTGCCCTTGGAGAGTGGGGGGGGGGTCCTGTCAATGAGTTGTATCACCAGCAGCTTGACTGAGTGACAGAATCACCTGTACACACAGAGCTCTTGATACTCATGAGCCTTGACTACCTGAGCTGGGACACTAGCTCACTAGGATATCACATGTTCAGGGCGTCTAGGCCCCATTAGGAAGCTTGGACTAAAAAGCAAAAAGAATATATTTAGCCTACATAAATAATTAAAATACATTTTAAAAAATTATTTCATCTTTAAGTTAGTATAAAATACGTATGTATGTATGTATGTATGTATTTTTTAAGAGTTGGGGCATAGTCCCAGGCTTAGCATGCTAGAAGTCCTGGCTTCAGTCTCAAGAACACACAGACAGCACAGGGACGCATTTCTGTAAGAGCTTTCTCATTAAGGGATAAATGATTACAATACTTGCCAAGGGTCAATGAAACAGTTCAGTGGATAAAGGCTCTGGCTTGTGCTAGCCTGAGTCCCTGAAACTGTTTGCTAGAACCTATATAAGGGCAAACGTAGAGACCTGCTAGATATGGTGGACTAATTGCCTTGGAGTCAAGCATTGTTGAGAGAGATCAGGAGGAAAAATAGTGTTGTTATTGTCAACACATTTATTATTGAAGCTTTATCTTCTAAATGTTATATTATTAAACTTTGTTTTTTAGTTGGGAGTGGTGGCTCACACCTTTAATCCTAGCATTAGGGAGGCAGACACAGGCAGCTCTCTATGAATTCAAGAGTTCTAGGACAGCTACAACTACATAGAGAGACCCTGTTTCAAACCAAACAGCAACGACAAAAAGATATATATGACTATTTGTATGTGTACCACATACATGCCTGTGGAGATCAGAGAAGATATCAGATTAAACCTATGATCCTGTTTCACCATCTTGAGTTCCAGGATAGCAGATGTGTACCACCATACTGGGATCCTTGCCTTTACCTTTATCTGTGGTGAGATTTTGGGTTTTAAAGACTTCTTTCTCCAACTTTTCTTGTTCGTTTCTGTGTTTGCCAGCTCTGACTGACAACAGGCATTCAGAGCCTCATCACTGGCAATCTGTCCTCCTGGAGTCACGGATGCAATAGAAACAGGCTATGCATGTTCAGCAGGCTTGTGCAGAGGGTGAGGGTTTTCAGAAGAAGGGACTTGGGCTGTTGCCCCCTCTCCCTCAGAGAAAGTGAAAGGTATTCAGGCAGTACAGTGTTTGCTTCAGGAAGTCATGAATGCCTGGAACCAGACACCAAGAATAAAAGTCAGTGCAGGAATGGTTCACTCACGAGAGAAACGGTGAGCAGAACTGCAGTTCACAGTCTGGGCTCCTGAGATAGCCGGTTATCAGGAACCCAGCTCAGGACCTGGATTAAGAGGACTGAAAACCAAATGAATCTTCCAGATGTGCTGCTCTTTATTACTCCTGAGACAGAGGCCCCTGGTTGTCTTGTGGTATGGCCTTCAGTTGTCCAACTAACAGCTGAACTTTGGATGTAGGTCCATTCATACTGTCCAGGTCAGATCACTCTGTATCATGTGTCTTCTGCACCCCCACTGCTCTCTGCCCTACCACTCACTCAGTAGCTTCAAGGAGCACTTCAGGCAGACTCTGGCCAGCTTTGCTGAGGTGCAACCTAAAAGGCCTTACTTGGGTCTGCTTTCCATGCAAGGAACAGTATGTGTGCAACTCATGGCTATGTAAACTTGGAGTATACGGAACAGACATCCTCCAATGTTGTCTGTTTGCATGGGTGATGATAGGCAAGTACTCCCCACTCTTCTTCACGGTGCAGGTGTTTTTCAGATGTATTTCCCAGGCTTCCTCAGAGATTCAGGAAACTGTAGCACCCTTTCCTTGGTGCTGTTCAACCAAGAAAGCATTCTAGTACTGGGCCTCCCTCCTTCCCTGTTCTGTATTCCTGCTCCTCAGAGTCCTGCTCCCAGGAAAGGTACAAAACTGTACAGAAGTGCTAGGCATGGGCTGTTTCCAGAGGAGTGCACCTGGCTAATATGTTTCACGATCAATATTAAGTAGCTGCTTACTACAGAGTACTTATCCCCAAACCAATGCTACAATTAGCCTACAGAAGAGTTGCATGCAGTGTGGCAAGGGCCCACCAAGTTCTAGGAATAAAGATTGTAGTCTGTTCTATTATTAAAAAATCATAGTTTATTAAAACCATCTCATTGCCCAAGGTACTTCAACAGCTTGTACAAAGTACAGGTTTTTGGTTTTTTTAAGTAGGTGAAGTATGTGCTTTGACAGTACCATGGCAACATAATCAGAAGAGAAGACAATCACACTGAACACAAAATACCCACCGATGTTACACGACTGCAGACAGCAACTCTGAGCGACTGTGAACACAATTTACATTTCTTCCTTGTATTTCCCCATGATTAGACATAGTGTTAACAAGCATAGTGTTTTGTTTTTGGCACTCAGAGCAGCTCTAGTGTGAGGCTGGGAAGGCCTTGTATGGTGGCAGCTGCGCACCACCAGCCAGGGTGATCCTGGGCTGGGAAACACACAGACAGTTCCCAAGTCTTTGATGAAGGGCGAATAACTTGAGACACACAGAGATGACACACAGAACATACCCCCACAACAGTGTTGAGAGAGGGAAGGGACACTTTCTTGTCCATACATTTCCTTCAAGACACAGATAATTCTGTCTGGTAGCCAGAATTCTGACTGAGACAGCAGTGGAAGCCAAGCCTTGTGGATTTCTCACAGGGTCTGAACAAGCCCAGGACTCTGACCAGACACACACAGCACAGAAGGCTGTGGGACTGAGCCTTCACAGTCCATACACTGCCTGCTTTATGTACCTGCTTCCATTTTAGTTTCATTTGGGGTTCCCGAGGTTTGTGTTCTGTAGTGGGTTAAATTAATCATAGCATTTTTGTAATTTAGAAAAGATGAGAAGTCAAACTCCCCATAGAATAATTTCTTTTCTGAAAGTATTTTTTTTTTTTTTTTGTTTCCTTCTGGTACAATTGATCAAACCCAGGGCCCTGTGCATCCTAGGCAAGCACACTGCCACTGAGCCACATCTGTTCCCTTTCCTGTAAATTCTCCAGTTAGGGAAAGGAGGGAAAAACGGACCTGCAGTTCTATCTGGTCCTTCTCAGGTCTTCTAAAATAACATAGCACGTCTAGCAGATGTTTTCATAGTCTTCCAAGTCCAAACTGGTTCGAGAAACTCATTAACTTCTTTGGAAAGCCCAAGTCCACCACTGCAATGCGATGTGCAAGCTGTCTGTGGTTAGCCTTGGTGTCCCTGGAGGAAGGTGGCTCTCTAGGATGGATGTCCCCATCCATGAGCACATTAGACACAAGGTCAACAGAACAGAAAAGCCCTGGGTCATTGACAGTGTTTGTGACAACAAGTAGGTTTTCCGTTCAGGTTTTTAGCTTCTGGAGCAGGTGTTACAAGGCTGTGCTCTTTAGGACTGTTGGGCTTTCTTCACCATCTTTTAGTGTCCTTGTCTGGCTTTGGGTATACCATTGTTTTATTCTATTAAAACAACCAAATCAAATATTAGTAACAAATTTTAAAAAGGCACCTACCAATATCAAAACAGGCAAAGTAGATATGAAGAAAAACAAAACACATGGTAACTTTTGATGTTTTTCTTAGTCTTTGCACTAAGCTAGAGCCGTTGCTTTATCGTGAGCATGCAAATGTATATACCTGATCACATAGGATAAGGCCATTGCCCTAGATAGCACTGTGGTTAAAGTAGTCCACGTATTTGTGAAACAAAGTGTGCAGGGAGCACTACTGTAAGCAGCAGGCCCTTAAGACCTGGCCAGGCCCAGACCCAATGCACCAAAAGTGTTAGGAGGGAGGTCTCTTACCCTTTGACCCTTAGCATCTGGTCAATGGTATCTGGGAGAGGGACACCAAAGCTCTCTGGGAAGAACAAGGTGAGGATAGCTGTCAGGATGGTCAGGCTTCCCATGAGGATGTAAGGCAGGAAGCGGTCATAGGCACCTGTCGTCGAGCAGAGGACCCAGGTTACAGTGAGACTTGGTCTCATTCTCTCAGCACTCTATATAGGACTTGTCTTTCTGTTGGTTCTAGCGCTACCCAAGCATGGGCTGCCCAAGTGAAGTCTGGCATCTAGACAGTCTCAGAGCCCAGACCTAGCACAGATGTGCCCAGAGGTCAGGCAGTGACCACAATGGACAGGGGAGAGGTATAGAGGAAGAGACAGCAAGCTACAGGGATTTCAAGGAAGACAACGTACTTCTCTAGGACAGGAACAACTTTCTCCCTCTACTTATGTGTCACAGTTTGTTATGCATGCAGGTTAGACAGGGTCCCATTGCCTATTAGAACCATGTAGCATGTGTGCAGAGTACTTGCTACTCTCTGGACACTGGCAGGTCCTCTCCAGAGCCACAGATGTGCAGAGGAGGAGAAGCTGCCGGGAGGGAGCACTTCTCTGAGCCAGAGAAACTTGTCCTGCTAGATACAAGGTCAAACGGCAGATCTTTACAGGCATAAAACACCCTCTCCCAAGTGTGCCATGCAGGCTTGTATGCCCCTACTCGGGAGGCTGAGGCAAGAGGAGCAAAAGTTCAAGGGCTGTTGGGCTACAGAGCAAGTTCAAACCCAGCTCACACAACTCAGTGAACTAGTATCTTAAAAAGTAAAGTGGGGGCCAGGGAGATGGCTCAGCTGGTTAAACTACTTGCTGCTAAGCCTGGTGACCTAAGTTTGATCCCCGGGATCCACATGGTGGAAGAAAAGAACTGACTCCTCTACATTGTCCTCTGACCTCCGCATATACATCAAATGAACGAAGTGTTCTAAGTTATGGCAACTGTTAATCCATCAGACATCTTGAATGGAGATGAGTCTCTTCATGTTCCTAACTCCAAGAAGTTCCTCCAGTAAAGTACACTGACTCTCTAAAGCATTTCTTAGGATAAAGAAGTTGTAGTTTGTGATGGAGGGTATGGGAAGACTGAAATAGAATCTGCACACTCTCTCATCCCCATCTAGCTGGTTTCTGAGTTGTTTTCCATTTGCAATTGTGTGCCTTCTCCAAACTACCTTTGGAAAGGAACCTTCTCCAAGCCAGGGATCCAGTAACTGATGCATCCTGCTGACTACAGTGCTTGTTCTCCAGTTCACATTAAGGCCGCTTAGAGCTTCTGTTCCACTGCTCCGGTGCACCACAGTACTTACCAAGGTAAACAAAGTAGGGAGACAGGATGCTGCCAAGGCGAGATGCTGTGGAGCTGACCCCCACACCCATGTTTCTGACCACTGTAGGGTACAGCTCAGCTGTGTACACATAGACCATGGAGTAGGCAGAGGTGATTCCAAACTTTCCCACCATCACCAGGGCAGTAGACAAATAAAACAATTCTAGGGAGACAAAGAAAGATAGCGAAGGCAAGAGGGGTCAGTGTAAGGGTTGCTCCTGAGGAATTCTCTTTCCATTTCTTCCTGATTTGGGTACAGAAAGTTGGTTAGTTTCTATAGCAGCATGGCTAAGATTTCTGAGGGGATTACTAAACGAAGACTGGACATTCAGTTATGTGAGCATACAGCTGTTCCTCAACTCAGAGGCCAAGATGGGAAGTGCCCAATCAGCCCAGTCCACCTGCCTTCCAGAAGTCATCCTGTGTTAGGAATGAGATACTGAGGGGGAGTTTAGTTCAAGCTCAGCTCATGCTTGCAGTCTACTCAAAAAGTTCATAGATCTGGGCTTTTGAGATGGCTCAGTGGGCAACAGAGCTTTCAGCCAAGCCTGGAAACTTGAGTTTGCTTTCCAGGATCTACACACTGGAAGGAGAGAATCTACTCTTCCCACTTCCTGCAAGTTGTCCTCTGACCTCTACATGTGTGCTGAGAAACATGTCTCCCTGTTCCAAATAAGTAAGTGCAATAAAATCATTGAAAAACTCTATAAACCATCTGAACTTAGGGATGATCCTTCAGTTGACTTCACTGCCTGGTGAGTATAAGGAAGTGTCCACTGGTCACTCTGAACTCAGGTGAGAGCCACTACAGCCACCCCTAGGTTCCTTCTGGCACATTATGGGCTATTCCTGTGAAGAGGGTCTCAGTGTCACAGGCCTCAAAGTGACTACCACAGGTTCCAAAAGCCACAGGAGCATGAATGATTCTGGGACGTGATGGACAAATGAAGACTTGCCATCTGTTCTATACTCATAGAACAGAAGGGTTCCTCCTGCCCACTTGTGGGATACCAAGGCAGTTTTACCAGCCAAATCCTGTCTGTAGACTCTGAGACCTTTCTTTTCTTTCCTTGTTACTAGTTCATTTGTTGCCCTGAAGCACACTGGGCTCAATACCTGTCAGACGTCTACTTTTATTATCTATCTATCCATGTATCTATGTATCTATGTATCTATGTATGTATGTATGTATGTATGTATGTATGTATGTATGTATGTATCTATCTATGTATGTATCTATCTATGTATCTATCTATCTATCTATCTATCTATCTATCTATCTATCTATCTCATGTAACCTAGGTTGGCCTCAGACTCCTTAGATAGCCAAGGATGCCCTTGAACTTCTGATTGTCTTGCATCCTCCCTCTCAAGTGCCGGGATTACAGGCATGACCCAGCATGGCTTGCTCATTCTTTTCTATCAAATGGTCGGAAATGTTCTGACTTTCTCATGGTGTTCTGTTACCTCATTTAATTCTACTGAATGCCTCTTGTTCAGGGTGCTACCCATGACTGCTCTTTAGATGAGCTCCTGTTCCCTTTGTTTCTGCTCACACACAGTAACACATCTGCAGAATAACAGCATCTAATTTGTTTGTTGTCTTTTCCACTAGAAGCATCCTCCATGCATTCCCCCTCCAGCTATTCCTTGAATAACAAAGTAAGAGAGAAATAGCAGGATGACTCTCATTCCTGTTTATTCCAGAGAGGAAACATATAACCATGTTAACTTGGCATTAGGGCTTCATTAACCAACAGCTCATTGCTTTCTTCACGCTGAACAAAGCCCAGGCCATGAAGAATGCTCTGGCTATGTGACAGCATCTCTTGACTTTAAGGGAGCATTGTATACACGTGGCACAGATGTAATGGTCTTGACTGTATTCACGCCATTGATAGCCTGGTTTAAGGAAAGTGAAACCGAGAAGACTCAGGTCTGCAAATCAATGTAGTCCATACCTGAAGGCACTAGCTGTATGAAGAGAAGGACACTGCCACCCAGGAAGAGGGCAGCAGCAATGGAATAGCGCCGGGGCAAGTGCCGCAGCAAGATCCAGGCCACCACATAGGCTGGGACTTCAACAGCCGCCAAAAGGAAGCAGTTCATGTAGACGTCCCCATGCAGGTTAGGAGTGTCAAGAGAAAGTCCGAAGTAGCCCACCGATATGGTCAGCCTGTAACAGGGCACAGAAGACAGCTGGAGAAGCAGCATCCATCTCTCCAGACCCATACACCTTGACAAACATTCATCTCGAGAACTCTGATCTGCTCTTGATGCAGGGAATGGGAGGGTAGTAGTAGACCTCACACTGTGCTGTACTTCAAAGAGCAAAAATTAACTTTCCCTGGTCACAATGAGCCTTGTATATATATCCTTGCCAGTGAACCTTCAGAACATCCCATAAAGAAAGTGTCACAGTAAAACAGCCTACATGACTAACACAAACTTAATAACTAGGGAAAATCCCAACCTTCATTTCAACGTTAAAATCCTACCCTGAAGCATTTGGAAAAACCTAATTTCCTTTTGTATGTGCTTCTCCAAATGTTGTGCTATATTCCACCTTAATCCTCCACTTATGTCACGCCGTACCCAGGCCATTACTCACTCTCTAGCTCCTTTTCCAGGTGCCATTTGGAGAAGGACCCTCAGTAGACTATCAGCAGCCAGGAAAAGGCTGACAGCAATCCTACCTACTATGCCCTGGAACAGGGAGCTCTCAATGGTGAGGCCTCCCTGTCTTTTATACCACCACCATGCCTAGCTCTGATGCTAATAGTAGGTGGTGTATCTCAGGCTGAAAGTCTGAGGTACTGTCTCCATGCTGGTCCTGTTCTCAAGGCAGATTCAGGTGTGCTGCATGGCCTTTGAGGCATCCTGGAGAATTCATTTTAAAATAATGACTCACATGCCAATCCCCACCCCAAACCAGGAAGCAAACTAGTTTACGGCTCCAAAGCTGGCCGAGTCCATCAGGAAGTCCATCTTATCACCACTCATTCAGTAGACTGAGTATCTCCTATATCCCAAGGGTCTGGCAAAGCCATGCAGGCAGCCTTGTTCCTTCTCCCTGGTAACTCATAGATTATTTCCTAATAACTGTGCAACTCCTTGTCAGAAGAAATCTGGAGAGGACATCAGGCTGTGGCCTCGACTTAATATAGTGTATGAACATCCCAGAAAAGCCATATCTCACTTTCATGCTTCCAGAAAGCTGTTAGCAGCCTCTGGAACCTAAAGAATAAAGTGCCTTCATTGAGACCCTTCTTCAAACCCCCAACTGTCCTGGCCAGCATGAGTGTCATCAACAGAGAAAAAGTTTAAACAAAAAATAAGCAGATGAGGGAAGGGAGTAAGATGTGCATGTTGTGTACAAATGATAGACAACGTGATCCCCCTGTAGGGGAGCTCCCTCTGTCTCCATGAACATAGCAGAGTTGTCAGCCTTCTCCTGGCCATGTACCACAGATAATCTACTGAAGGAGGGGACAAGGGACAGGAACAACTAAGCAAGGACCTTGTGAAAATCCTAGATCCCAAACAGCCTCCATGCTCATTTTCTCCTTTTCTGGGTTTCCACTGCATTAAAAACGGTTATGTCCCTGTGGCTGCCATCCTTGTGTCACGTGATTACAGAGGCTTGCAGCTTTGGTTGAGGCACGTCTGTAGACAGAAGTCCTGAGAGTGGGTGAGGCTCAGGCAGGTCTCACTTACGCACCACAGGATTATGGACATGATGGTGATGGTCCTGATATTTCTGGTTCGGATCAGATCATAAATGTGGTGTGACGGAGGCTTCTCGGAATTTAGGTTTTGTAACTGCAGGAAGAAAATAGTTAATGGTATAGGAAAAGGGAAAGTTGGAAACTGCCTCATACTGACACTCACTTCGAATCCATCATTTTCACTATCTACTTCTCAAGAGTTAGGTAGAATTCTAAGGTTCTTCCTTGAAAAGACTCACAGGAGACATCCAAGCCCCCTGCAGCCTTAGTCAATGACAAACTGGAATGAAAACCAATGAGAGATAGAGAAGTGTACGGCAATTGCAGAGGCCCAAGCTGACAGCCACCTCACTGCATCCTCCTGCCCCTCCTCACTGGCCACCTCCCAGGGAGGCCTTGGGAATCCCTGTGCTGGGCTGACTCCCTGCTCTCTTGGTCAGAGAAAAAGAAAAGGCTGTGCATGCATTTTACTCAGCTGATGTGGAAGTGGAGTGAATTCTGTGAGTCCTCATGTTGTGTAGTTACTGGTCTTCTCCCAGAAATAAAAAAATCTAACTGAAAACAGGAAAACTGACCCGCCCTTCCCCCAGATTAACTTCCTGTGAGATTCGGCAGAGCCAAGGCCATCACTAAGCCACATGTCTAAGTACACTGAAGTTGTGTTCTTAGGTAACCCAGCTTGGGAGCTTGTTTTTACCACCTTGCCACTCATAGATTCCATTGAAACAGTCTCGTTTCCTCAGTGATGCCAGCAAGGCTTATAGATTCACCCAGACTGACCCTCTGACTCAAATGCCACCAAAGTCACCTCACTTAAAATGCTCTCAGCCCTGACTTCTGTGCTTCAGAGGCCTTCTTGAGCATGCTGAATGACTGCTGCAGCTGGGCCACCACTTAAACGCTAGCAGGGCTGTTTGTGGCTATCAGCACCTTGGCTGCTTGTAAGAACTGCTTTTCTTTCTCATAAGCTCCAAGTTCTCATCATGCCCAGAGCATCTCAAACATGCCTGCAGCTTACTCTTCAGCATGGTTGCAGGCAGCTGTTCCTCAACTAGCCTCCATTCTTTAAGATCAGAGACATGTCTGCCTGGGGTCAACATCATGTGTCTGAGGAAAGCAGCCTGCTGTTGAAAAAGGCAGGAAAGGGTAAAGGAAGCAAGAAGTAGGACCACGCAAAGCCGTGGTCTCAGAGTGTCTGAGAACTGGGGAGAGACATGGCCATCAGAAAGGACCAGGCTCCAGGATATGGGTAACACCAAACTGAGATAATAAAAGGAAACAGAACACTGCTAAGTGCATCTATCTGTGTTCTGATTCTCTTCAGCTGACAATCCCTGAGGCATAAGAAACAACCACTTCCCAAAATGCTGAAGTTGATGAAAGCCTATTTCTCATGAAGGGTGTTACTATTAAAAGACATAATTAAGCCAGGAATGGTGGCCTGTCACTTTAATCCCAACATCTGGGAGGCAGAGAAAGTCATATCTTTGTGAGTTTGAGGCCAACCTGATCTACACAGAGATTTTCAGACTAGCCAGGGTTACATAATAAGACCATATCTTAAAAAAAAAAAAAAAAAAAAAAGGTGGGGGGAAGCTAGGCAGTAGTGGCACACACCTTAAATCCCTGTACTAGGGAGCCAGAGGCAGAGGCAGGCAGATCTGAGTTTGAGGTCAGCCTGGTCTACAGGGAGAGTTCCAGGATAGCCAGGGCTACACAGGGAAAACTAACTCAAAAAACAAACAAATGTAAAAGATGAAAAAGGAAAGGAATAGTTAAAAAATATGATTAGTTTGAAAAAAGAATAAAGAAAGCATGTAAAAAAAAAAAACCCACTGGAGAGAATTACATAGTTGAAACCCATTCCTCAGCTTCACAGAGGTCTCCACATATATATGTTTTTGAGTATGTGGGATGTGTGTGTATGTGTATAGGCTGAAGGTTGTCCTGGGATTGTCACTCACTTTTCTACCTTATCTTTGAGACGGGGTCTCTCATTGACTGGTTAGCTGGCTGTCTCTGCGCTCCTAGTACTGGGATGTGACTTCTCCAGGCACACTCTGCTCTGGCTTTTTTTTTTTTTAAATGCCTGGCTTTTAGTTGGTTGTTGGGCATTTGAACTCAGGCCCTCATGCTTGTATGGCAAGCACTTACAGATTGAATCATCATCTTTCTATTCTGTCAGCGTCTGCATTTTAACAGCCCTTGCCTTAGGGGTGGCCATGGCTTAGGTAGGGCAAGGACTGAGCTGCTGTGAGCTGTGCTGCTGTATGCTGCTGACCTAAAATGGCCAGTGTGAGTCTCCTACCAGCTTCCACGTGGCATTTACCTCACTCTGATCAAAGATAGTGGAAGGTGCAAGGATCCCATTGGTTTTGGCGGCTTTGCGGATGATCACCTCTGCCTCTTTAATTCGTCCTTGCGAGATGAGCCATCGGGGGGACTCGGGGATGAACCTGGAAGGACATGTGCAGTCACTCTCGCGAGGCCTCCTGTTCCCTGCTCCCCCAGAGGCTGGACGCGGCTCAACTACAGGTGGGAAATGAGGTTTCAGATGCAGAGGTAAGTGTGTGGAATGTCAGGTGTTCATAAGCCAGAAATAGAGATGGCCCAGTAACTACCTGAGGCATGAGCTCTGCTGAGCACTGACTGCAGTGAGCAGAACCTGAAGCGTGCTGTACATCCCAGGGGATCCCCACCGCCATGTCTGCACTGATGGTGCAGTGATGGCTTTAGAGACAGGTACAAGATGGGGGCCTGATGCCTGGCTTCTGCTGAGAGTTAGCTCTGCCAGATCCTGCTTTCTTCTACTCTGTCCCTGAGATCCACAGAAACTTCTGTAGCGATCCTGTCCATTTTCCCTCACTCCATGGCTGATTTAGTCAATAGACTTGTCACTCTCTCTACATAAAACAGCATGGCTGCCAAGGCTGGAGACTTGGTGTATGGAGTCTTGGTGCATATTTTCCTTAACCTTGTGACCAGGCAGCCCTCTTTTCTCTGTCATAATCAGGAACCATGATGCATTGTTTCTCCTTCTCCCACTATTCTCCAGGATGCTCTCCAATGTGCACAGGATGAGGATGTCACTTTAGTCTAGCCTAAGGGTTCATTCCTGACAGGGTCCATTCTTGGCTCAGAATGGCTTCTGCTCTGCCTGCCCAATCCCCATCTGTTGGAGCACAGCTGGGGCCTGCTTTCCTCTGCACAGCCACTCAAGGAAGCTCAATTTGGAGCTCTCCCTCTCTACCTCCCAACACACAATGGCCTGGGGCCTCAGCATCCAGCAGCTGCAGCCTAGGCTTTGTTGGGATCTGAGAACTTCCCAGAGGTTCAGCTGGTCCCTATCTGCTTGCAGCAAATTCTCAGTTCAACCTAGAACGGGGCAGAGGAGATGGCCACTTATGTTTTTGGATTCTGTGTTGTTTTGGCTTTTCTTAGTATGGAGAGATGTTCTGAACTGATTTCTAAATAACAGTCACTTCCTTCTTCTGGGTTCTAGAATTGTGATTTGGGAACTACTGCTGACCTCTACTGGACATGAGACAGAAGCCACCCCACCACACAGGGTAGGCAGCCCAAAGGGCAGGGCCACACTCACCACCAAAGAGCCCCACACAGCACCCCTGGCACAGTGAGCGCCAGAAGAAGCATCCGCCAGTCTCTGATGAAGTATGCAAATAGAGGCAGTACCATGAAGCCCAATGCATAAAATATGCAAACTCCTAAGGTGGCGAATATAATTCGAATTGACTTGGAAAGAATTTCTGTCCCTGTTCAAAACAAGGTAGGAATCAAGTTAATCATTAATTAGGGTTGTTTCCTTATGAATCTTCTATGGTATCATTTTCAACATAGAGACAAGGAAGGAGCCAGAATTAGCTCTATGTCCTTAGGCTCTGGGAGGGGTTACATCTAGACTAAGTCTGCTCTGATTTGCTCCTTGGGTGTTTTTTCTGAGGTCCCCAGGCAACAGTGCTCTCTTGAAAATGTCATCATCACCCTCAGACACATGCTAAAGATGCTAGGCCTCTGTAAGTTCTTACACAAGGAAGAATTCACCAAAGGCAAAATCACTACTAAAGACACACATACTAACTATTCTCCTTTGAGGAAAAAAATGTTCTAGTAAATGTAAAAAAGAAAATAGTAATCCTTTCCACAATACAAACTGAAGGAATGCAGTGATCTCTTTGGCTAGAGCAAGGCTCTTCCAAACAGGGAGACTAGAAGTTTTCCAGTGGGAACAAGGTAGCTTGTCTGAATCAGAGCCTTGACGGTCAGAGAAGACTCTGATCAAAACCTGAACTGGCTTGCTCAACTCACTCTCCTTGGCAGACACTAACAGCCACCAATGCTCTGCAGCAGCTCCTTTTCCTGGGGATGCTGCCTGTCATGGCCCATCTCCCCTTGGTGGGCCTCCTTCTTTCCTCAGCTTCCTACGCCCGAGCTGTACGAGCCTTTAAAAAGGGATGCTCAGTGGTGAAACCTCGCTAATGACTGAAGTGCAAATAAGGCCAAGAGGCCCAAGTCAGCGCCAGACAAGAGCTGGACATCAGGAGTCAGGAACCATAGCCAGGCCCAATTTATCAGCTGATAACCTAGGTTTATGTTATTTACTAGGGAATTTTAGCAAATTTCCCCACGAGGGACAACATAATCTGTCTCCAGTAAAGTGAAACACAGGATTAAGTACTCAACTCCAACCTGATGTCCATACCCAGGACAAATGCTGCCACGTAGTTGGAGATCTGACCCATGCCAACAAGGACAAAGAGCACAGTAAACATCTCGAAGTTCACAGAGAAGACCTGCAGGAAGCTGAAGCCAGTCTGCATGCCCATGGTCAAAAACAGCACATTCTTCCGACCAAACCTGGGGAAGAAAGGAGAATCACAGAGAAGCAGATGGGAGAGGTAGCAGCAGCCGGCTCAACTGAAAGGGCCTTTCTCAGGCCACAAGGACTGGCACCAGGGTAATTCCACTCTTTCAATCTCCATGCTGACATTGAATTCCACACTTTCCAGTATGAATGTATAGCCTGGACACCCAGGCTGCCCAAAAGGCAGTGCCAATATGATGCTAATGACTGCAGGGGATGGAAAAGCATTTGTTATGTTTTTAAATCCACATATTTATAATAATTTTTAAAGACAGAAAAAACATAATTCATGGTAAATGAAAACTGGTTATTTATCCTGACTTTACTTTGTCAATGATATGAATAATTGGAAAAAGGTGTAAGGAAAGAATTTTTTATAAAAGTACTGAAAATAATGAGGAGAGAGAGAGAGAGAGAGAAAAGAAGACAAAACAAAACAAAACTCTGTGTCACCATTGCATAGCGTTCTATGAACTGACATGGGCACTGTGTTTGATAGGACTGCATGATGCTGTCCTATAATCTTGTCAGAGGAACTGACTCAGACTTGAGTCTATGAATACAACTAATGCACAGAATAAAGGCAAATCTCCCAGACCTAGAGAGGGAAATTTTACAATGGAACTGCTCAGTGTTCTTCAACAGATAAACCAATAAACCTCAAGGCAAAGAAATGGGTAAAGGAAAAAAAAAGAAAAAGAAAAAAGAAAAAAAGGAGACTAAAAGACATATCCAACTAAAAATCATTTTATTATTTTTTTGTGCATGTATGTGTACCTGGTGCCTGGTGTACATACATGCCTAGTGCCGATGGAGCCTGAAGAGTATATCAGATATCAGATCTCCTGGGACTAAAATTACAGATGATTTGTAAGCTGCCATGCATGGGCTGGAAAGAACAGGCAGTGCTCGTGATTGCTGAGCCATCTCTATAGCCCACAGATATACTAAATTTTATAAGTGGACAAGATGAAACTTCTACTTAAAGAGGGGTCTGATATGGTAGCAAATTCCTTAAGTTCTAGTAAAGGTAGGAGGATCCTTATGAATTCCATGCCAGCCATCGTAGGAATACATCTTTAAAATATGTATATATATTATGACTATAAAACATTACATATATTATACATATATTTTTATATATTATATATTTTCTATATTTGAATAAAAAAAACTATTCTTCCCCCCCCACACACACACACAAAGAAATTACACAAAAAAGGAATTTGGGGAATGAAACCAAAAGACCAAATCCTGAACTCTATAATCTTGAAAGCTTAAACTCTGAAAGATCTAAAATCTCAAAGGATCAAAATGCTGAAAACATAATTTTGGAAAAACTAATTTTATGTGTATAGGTATTTTTGCCTGCAAGCATGTTTGTGTAAAATATGCACGGTTCCTGTCCTGAGAGGCCAGAGATGGCATCAGATCCCATGAAACTGGAGTAACAGGTGGTTGTGAGCCTAGATGTAGGTGCTAGGATCAAACCCAGTTCTTCTGCAGGAGCAGCCAGTGTTCTCAAGTCTGACCTGTGTCTCCAGGCCCCTATCTGGAGATAAACAAAACAAAACAAAAAACAAAAAAACCTCTAAAGGTCACCCAAGGACCTGGAAGAATTTTATCTTTCACAAATGCAGGTGTACACAAAGCATATCTACTTATTGAGGAAGTTTCAACATTTCAGTACAACAGTTATACCCAAAACTGATGTAGGGATAATGTTCTTTCATGGAGTCAAATTTTCTTGAAATGTACAAATGAAGAAGCCTGTATACAATCTATACTCCCAGAATTGGAAATTATACAAATATGAAATATATAGCATAGTGAGTTATAGAACACAATACTTGTCATTCAAAATGACTGGAGGAGATGGATCTAGCTCAGTGGCAGAGTGCATGCTTGGCACACACAAGGACCTGGATTCAATTCTAGCACAAATGAAATGAAAACAGAAACAACTGCAAAAAGATAACCTAACATACAAAAATGCATATTGTGGGGCTAGATGATGGGCAACTGCACAAAGGCAGCAGAGGAGCAGGAGGCTTGCAACATCAGTGTAGACTGTTGTCTTTGCTAAGATTAGCATGTTTCTGTTTTCTTTTGGCCATGGATCTTTTTGGAGAATACACTCATATGCACATCTACGTGGTGGACCTTCTCCTCAGTCCACACAGACACACACACTAGTCTCCTTGGGAAGCACCTTCCAATACACCTGAACAATGCTTTCTCAGGCTTCTAGGTATCTATTCTGCCTAATGTATTGCAGTTTTCCTGAGTACCATCAAGGCCTGTATCAATCCCTTCCTAGAACATAAGGTCTCTACTCTCTTTACATAGCACTCTTCACAGCAAGAATCTCGGTTTGGTGGTTTCCTTTGCTGTGTGTGTATGTTCTCCTGTGCACATGTGTATATAAACATGTGGAGGCCAGAGGTTAATCTCAGTGTCATTATGCAGAAGCTGTCCACCTCATTGTAAGACAGGGTCTCTCATGGCATCTAGAACTCACCCATTAGTCTAAGGTGGCTGGCCAATAAGCTCCAGGAGCCTCCTGTTCCTGCCCTTCGGCCACAGGGATTACAAAGGCATGCCATGCCACTCAGCAGTTCACAGAGGTGCTGGGGACCGAACTCGGAACTTCAGGGATGTGGGGCAGGCCCTTTACTAACTGTGCTACTTTCCCAGGTTCAGAATTCAGAATTTTACATTTTTGCATGGGCTTCTGAGGCACAAAGTTCTCCTGCCTGACTTGCAGGCTGCTGTCAGGCCACCTCCATTTTGGTCCAACTTTGACAATGACAGAATGTGAATTTGGTTTCTAGAACTAATGTAAACTTGTTTCTCTAGATTCTTCCTCTCCCATCCTTAAAGGTTTCCCTAGCCATGAGCCATCAGGAGAGATGTTTATACATCACCTGCGTTCTTAAATTTATCACTCCCTAATTGCGTCAACGGCCAAGCATTCACTAAAAAGGAAACTTTTCCATTTCTTTCTGAGACCTCTAGCTATGAAAAGTATAGAAGGGACGCCACCATGCCACATGTGCCAGAACTCTTCTCTGAATACCCGCCATGCTGCTGTCTGCTTGCCTATCACGTTAATAACTTAACGTTAATATTTTAAGAAATCTCTTACCGCAAAAGAATAATCTACCTCTTCCCTTCCCCCACCTTTGAACCACGAAAGAAAACCTTTCAGCTATTTCCTGGAATAATTCATTAAACCACACATTTACCATGTGACTTTCTGTGTCTGGACTTACTTTAAAAAGCAGACTTGTGTGTTGTTGTTTAGATTTCTTTTGTCTTAAAGTAGGTGTCTCAAAAGGAAGGAACAAGCCAATCTGAGGGGAAGCAGCAGGTTCTGCTTGAGACCGGTCTGAGCTGGCTCAAAACTTGTGTATTCAATGAATACTTACTCTCAATATTATATTAGGCACTGGGAGTGTTTCTGCCTTAAAAAAATGTCACCTCTGCCCTCAAGCAGCTACTGTCTGGTTGGTGAGACAATATTAACTACACTTTAATCACCCATGCTCCTGGACACACCATATACACTGAGAGAAGTGCACTAAAGAAATGGTTCCTGGGTCCACAGCGACACAACAGAGGAACTCAGACTCTAAGGGCAGGCGCTGGGCATCCTGGGATGATCTCTGACAATGGGGCACTGATGAGGTCCAAAGGAAAAGTAACTGCTGACAATGGGGAAACATTCAGTCTAGAGCAGCAGTTCTTAACTTTCCTAATGCTGACATCCCCCAAACACAAAATTACTTTTGTTGCTACTTTATAACAGTAATTTTCCTAGTGTTATGAATTGTAATATAAATATCTGATATGCAGGATATCTGATAAGCAACCCCAGCACAAGGGGTTCAACCCCCAAAGGGGTCACAACTCACATGCTGAGAACTGCTGACCTAGAGGGAAAAACCATCACTATTCCCGTGGCATCACTTTTCATTCACTAATTTCTCTTTGGCAATATGAAGGAAGTCCAGGAATTGAGGTAATGGAAACTGCCACCTTGAGCCACCTGCTTAATGAAGAAAAGGCAGTAGGTGGGGAGAGGGGTTAGATTCTGAGTATATACCCTGTGGCTAGGGTAGGGTGTGGGTTTGATAAGCACAGAGCTCAAGTGGCAGCCATCAGCTGCCCAACATAAGACTTTGAAGGAAGAAAGGAGCCAAAACTGCACAAGGCTTCAGGGCTACTAGACAGGGAAGAAGACTCCAATTCGCTTGCACTGTTTTGTAAGGAAGGTACACTGCAGATACAAGGCAGACTAGTGTAAACTCTTCCCTCCCCTTCCCTAAGCTCCTTAGGATGACAGAGATCTAGGGAACCCTCTCACATCACTACTCTTTGGAAGCTGGAGGTTGTAAAGAAAAAAACTTGTTTTTGTTTCTGGCATTTTTTGTTTTGGCTTTAAACTGTCTTACCATATAGCTCAGGCTAGCCTCAACATCCATCATCCTGCTTGGCCTCTAGTGCCTCGTTATAGGCATGCACAACTGTGCTCAGACCTGAAAACCTCACTTTGAACTTAGTTTTTAATTGATTATCTGTTAGTGGGGGTGGGAGGTTGGGGTGTGGGAGGGTACGTGCCTCTGAACTAGAGGAGTGAATGTGGAGGTCAGAGGACAACTTGCTGGAGTTGGCTCTCTCCTTCCACGTGGGTCCTAGGACAGAACACAGCTGGTGGAGCTTGGTGGCAAGTGTCTTTACTCAGCAATCTCTCCCACTTAAGGACCTTACCTTCATCTCATTTATTTATTCATTGTTTTTTTGAGACAGGGTTTCTCTGTGTAGCCTTGGCTATCTTGGAACTCATTCCGTAGATCAGGCTGGCTCGAACTCAGACATCTGCCTGCCTCTGTCTCCCAAGTACTGGAATTAAAGGTGTGTGCCACCACCACCCAGCTCAGGCCTCATTTTTAAAGGCTGTCAACAAGATAGCAAACATAGATATTTACAAAACCAGGAAATAGCAATTTACTTCTTCCCAGCTGAGCCTCTCATAATCCATAAAGCTAGCTTAATTATATCACATAAAAGTAACAACAATGTAAAATTATTTTAATTTCATTTCAATTTAGAGTTAGTAGTATGCCAGGAAGAAAGCTCAGCATCTGTCCCATATAAAGTTACTGTTGATACTCTAGAAAACAAATTGAGAGCATAGATATATTGCCCCCAAAGGTCTCTGTTTTTGTCTTCAACCTGGTACTGAGATGTAGTGAGATGCAGACTTATTCACCTCACAAGCCCTGGCACTTCCCCGGGTATGCAGGCAGGCTTGAGCGCAGTGTTGGGAGCTGCAGGCAAGGGCTGCGGCCAGAACCCAGCACTTCCAGTGTTCTTATTTACAGGCTTAATAAGCTTACTGAAAACAAAAACCAAAAAACCTCAGGTATAAAAGCTGACACACACACATTCTCAGAGAGAGGAGGGTCATGCACCCCACACTGGCTTTTAAATAACTGTGTAACTGAGCATGACCATAAACTCCTAACCCTCCGGCCTCTATCTTCTAAATGCTGAGCTTTTTCAGGTGTGCACCCCTATACCTGGTCCATGTGGTGTATAGATCAAACCTACAGTTCATATATGCTAGTCAAACTCTTCACCAGCGGAGCTACATCCCTAGTTCCCTGCCTGAAAGATTTCAGAAAAGATCTTTTAACACATCCATCACCCTTCTGTAAGGAAGGTGATCCCTACTACATTCATGACTCGTGTAGCCATTGTTTCTATGACAGTAAACACTTCAGTGTGAAACTTAAACACTTTCTTCAGTTAATTATGGTGTTCCATACATGGTAAGCAAACAGGTTCTTAAGCCGGCTCGGTAAAGACCTACTTAATCTAGGATATAACTGACGTGGCTTCTACACTCAACTTGGGGCACATCCCTCCGTGCTATAGACATCAGCTCAATTCCTTTGAGATTCAGTGGCCATTCCACCATGATTTCCTCACCTCTACTTGGAAGACCTCTCAGCCTGGTCCTGGCCCTCCACTGGCATTGCACCTACTGTAACCTCTCATGGAGTAGCCATACATCCAACAACACACTGAACCTCTCCAATTAGGCGCCCTCATAATCACCCCAAATTCAATACTTTCCAATAGCATTGAACACCTTCTTTAAAGATGTGGTTCTCTATCACAGTTAGAAAAGGGTATAAACTCTCAGTTTGCTATAAATGCCAGAGACCTTTTTCTTCCTCACTCCCCACATTCAACCAGTCAGCAAGTCCTTCATGACCTCACTCTCCATCTCTAGCAGTCTTGGTTCTGTGTTCACCTCCTATCCTCTTTTGCATGCACCACTGAAAATCTCTTAATTGGTCCCTTATAATTGCTCTTGATTTCCTTCCATCTTTACAAGTCTATCAAATTATTTTTTCAAAATGTATGTCTGATAGTCACACTGGGTTTAAAAAACAAACAAATAACCAAAACCATAACAAACCAAAACAAAAAGCAGCTCTCAAGGCTCCTCAGAGCTCTGTGCCTGAACACAAACTCCTTACTGTGGTCCAAGCTAAGCCTAGTTTGCCCATGTGCTCAGGCCTCTGTTTGCCTCATGGCCCTTGTCTCCACTGACTCTCTAGAGCCCAACCACAGTGGACCTTTTTCTATTCCCAAGCCTCTGACTAGACTTTAACACATGGCACTTCCTGCCCAGAACGTTCTTCATCTCTCCAGCAAATTTCTACTCATTTTTCAACTCTTAGCTAACACTTTACTTCAGTAAAGCCTGTTGGACACTCCCACAGCACCCTGATCTTTTCTGGTATCACTTCCTATGGCCAAGGAAAACAGTCACTTCCTCAGTAAGTTGAATCTCTCTGCCTTGCCCATGGGAAAGTTCTAGCGAGCAGAGATCTTCAGCAGTAGTCCAGAAAATCAGAGGAGCAAAGAGCTCTGGGGTTCAACATAGCCTGCCACTTGTCAGCTATGTAACTCTAGGGACATAACCTAACCCCCGTGTTTTACTTTCCTCACTTACAAAATTTGAATAACAGATCTTGTCAGAGGGTTGTGAGGATATGGCTACCTATTTGGTTGTTAAGGTGGGCCGTACTTAGAACAGAGCTTGGCATATATTACATACTACATATTTGAAAATGAAAGCAAGCAATTGATGCTTGTTACTAGATTAAGAGAAGCATCATTCCCCAATAGGACGGTACCTCAGGCTCAGCCAGAGCTGACTATCTATACTCACAGCCTACTGACCTTTTTAATGTACTCTGGTAACTGTGGTGACACCAGAAAAATAAATCTAATGAGATATGAAGTTATATAAATTTAGCCGAGAGTGGTGGTAGATCCTTGTAATTCTAGTACCAGGAAGGTGAGGCGGGGGATTGCTACAAGTTTAAGGTCAGCACGGCATGGCTTACATAGCAAGGACCAGTTCAGGCAGAGAAGGAAGAAGGACCATGCCTCAGTTAATCAATCAGCTGAAATAAAAGAGCCAGAAAGATGGCTCAGTGGGTAAAATGTTTGCTATTTAAGCCTGATATATCCTAGTTGGAGCCTTGGAACTACTGTAAGAGGTGTCTCCTGACCTGCAAATACATTTTGTTGCTTGCACACCTCTCCCTCATATACAAAATGACAATAAAAATTTAGAAAACTAAAGACAAAAAAATTTTTGACTCCTGATGTGAAAATGCTCCATAGATATAAGCATGCAATCATATAACCCCGAGTGTACTTGACAGAGCAATGCAGCTCGGCTCCCCAGACAGGATGACATTCCACCTCAACTGTACTTTTTGTGCACTCCTAGCTGGCCAGGAGGATGCTGCAGCACCCTCTCCTGGGCCTAAGAGTATCTGATCAGTACCACCATGGCCAAGGATCTGCTGAAGTCCTCTCTGCTGACTTCAGCTGTCTTGATAGATTCCAAAGCTCCATGTAAAGGGACATAGCATAACGGGAACCTTCTGAGAGCTTCACCAAAGCTATTGACCCGAATGAAATAACAATAAAGACAACACACCCTCATATACAACCTCTAATTTATGGACTGTTGCCTTCGGTTGTTAAGGCGGGGTCTCCCTAAGTAGGCCAAGAGGGCCTTGACCTCTCAGTCCTCTGGTCTCAGCCATCTGCATACTGGGCTTGGAGCTGTGCACCACCACTGCTTTAATTTCAAAGATTTTCTTGATTTCTTTGGACCATTAGTGGAACTTAGATAAAGGCTTTAAAATTGTGCTTTTCTATGCTTGTAACAATAACATTCATTCTCTTGGTCTTACAGTAAGTGCCATAACCTCAGGCCAAGGGACACCAGAGCTCTGCTCCTCACAGCACCATGGACTAGAGGGACCATGTTCTCTCACATTGCTCAGAGGGAAAACTGATCTTCTTGGGAACACAGAAGTGGCCACCATGGTATTGCCTAATGTCTACAAGACAGTCTTCCACACATGTGTAGTGTCAACCTCTCAGGGATAGGAGAGTGCTATATTCTCCCAGGGAAAGGAGGCCACACTTGTGCAGGAGTGAGTCATGGCAAAGTAACTGGTATTGGACCATGGATATACATGGTTAGGCTAGCTTTGGTTTCTTTGTTCAGCAAGAATTGGCAAATGATATGAGACATCATTGGCCAGTTTTCCTTGATATACAGTCTATTCTAGACATAGCTGCTGCTGCTTCTGAAATGGATGGCCCTGGGCTAAGAGAACACCATCAGTTAAGTCCAAGTACAAATTTCTTAAACAGTGCTGGCTACAGTGCCCTGCAACTACACAGAAGATAGACACCTTACCTGTCTGAGAGCTGTCCCGAAATGAAGGAGCCCATGAGCACACCCACGAAAAACAAGGAGGTGGTGAGTGGGGCTTTCCAGTCATCCTTACACACCAGGTCCCACTGTAGGAGGAGCAAAGGGATGCATTACTCACTCCTTTTCTGAAGTTGAAAGCTTCTTGGAAAACGAATCGGCATCCCCTGCATCCCCGAATGTTTTGAGTATACGAGCTCAATAAGCTAGGCAATGGCTCACCTGGACAGCAATGCAGAGAAAGCAGGTGGCTTCTCCCTCTCCCAGGTCTTGCTTCAGTTTGAGGAGGGGGAGGGGCAAACAGCAGCACTCTACCCAGACACTGACCTCTAGTTAGCAAGGCCACTTTTTGCTGTGCTGACTTCTGAGACTCCAGACTGAGCCGAGGGCTGTGCAAGAGGAAAGAACCCTTGCTCAGTGCCCTTCAGGCCACTGGAACTGAGGGAGCCTAAGTGCCAAAGCATCCAGCAAAAGACTGAGGCCAAAGGGCCTAGGGTGTTCTGTCTAAACCTGATCCTTCAGCTTGGCTTGGGCTCCCACCAAGGCCAATGGCCCCTCAGTCCCTGTGATATTCTGAGCTGGAA